TGTCCCTCAGCTCTTCAGCTCAAGGCTAGCGCTCTACCACTTGAGCCACAGCGCCACTTCCAGCTTTTTTCTTTTTGCTTATGTGGTGCTGAGCAATCGAACCCAGGGCCTCATGCATGCAAGGGAATCGCTCTACCACTGAGCCACCTTCCCAGCCCAGAGTTTAGGTGTGTGTGGTGTGGGGAGGGCAGCTGAACTCAGGACCGCTAGATGACAGATAACTTGCCCAGTTGGCACTCAACCACTTAATGTCATAGTTCTAGCCCTTCTTTTTGCTGGTTATTTGGAGAGTCTTATGGATTTTTCTCCCAGGCTGCTTCCAACCATAATTCTCTGGATCTCAGCCTCCTAAGCAGCTAGGACTAGAAGCTTGAGCCATTAGCACAGGAGTCCTGGTGTTTTTGTTCTGGGGAGAGAGCTTCTATTTTTGAGAACATACTGACGTGTCATACCAATGCATGAATTAATACTGTTTCTGGGGAAACTAACCTTTGACCCGGACGTCACTGTACCTCTGGAAGTGGTGGTAAGCAGCCTTCCAGGGATTCCGATAGTGACGAAGAAGAGTAATGGGAGGTCTTGGACGCACTGGGACGTATCTCACACCTTCTTCATCTATTATAAAAGGATGAAAAGAAGGCATTTAGGTAGATTATACCTCCCACTCCCCCACCCCCCATTTCTGGGCCTTGAACTGAGGGCCTGGGTGCTATCCCTTAGCTGCTTTTGCTCAAGGCTAGTGTTCTTACCACTTGAGCCACAGCATCGCTTCCGGCCTTTCCTGTTTATATAGTACTGAGGAATTGAACCCAGAGCTTCACACATGCTAGGCAAGCACTCTTCCACTAAACCATGTTCCCAGCCCGATTACACATTTTTAACAATATTCCAGGTTAGCTCCCAGTAAATGAGCTTCCAATGAGAAGTGTCTATGGAAGAATGCTCTGGGATAGACTTGGTCTGAAATGGACAAGGCCAGGAATTAGTCTCAGTGGCTATTACCAATATACTCCTTGGGAGGAGACTTGCGCTTCTCCGCCTTCACCAATAGACTCTTGGCAGTGGATTTCTCATCATCAGTGCTGTTCGTCTCCATCATGTCCCCTTCTTCTGTTGAGATCACATGCTGTTGTTTTCGAGGCTTTTTCCTTGGAGAGGCACCAGGTGGTAGGTCACTTGTAGGCATGGACAGGTTGTTTGCCAGCAATGCAAGAGATGGAGACACAGTGTTGGTGGCTAATGGAGGAACTGCTGTCAGAGGAAATGGAGCACATACATCATGAGAACCCAGACATGATAGGAAGCTTCACTTGACTTCCACCACTAGCACCCACTAAGACAGGTGGATGGTTAACATCTGTGCAGTCTTCTATGGACTCCACACTATGCAAGACTCTAATGGATGCTTAATGTCCCAGAGCTTCACCTTGCTTAACTCTAGAACCCCCCACACGCTGACACGCCACTTTGGTTAAACAATGTATTTCTTAGCTTCCCTCACAAGTGTGTACAGATGAGCTGGAAGTAGCAGAGTTCTGTAGCACTTTTAGTGACTTGCTTTCCTTCTGTGCCCTAGTTCCCAGATGTCGTGTGTGGAGCTCCAGCAGCTACCTTGAATTAAAAGCATGAAGATTAAGCCCTCAGTGTTGTGCAGTGAAAACTGGGCATGGCCTGGATCCTTAAGTGACTTGGAGCCCACATAGCATTCCTAGATAAGTCCCTTGGCTTGCTTCAAGGGAGATAAAAGCCTTCATGTTTAAGTGACTATTTATCTGGCCTTTAAAACACAAATTCCTATTCATTCACAATCTTGAAAACTCGAATAAGTACAGATGATCACAATTCCTCTAATTCACAGATGAGAAAGTGTGGCACAGTGCACACAAATATGAAGTGGCAGGGCTAGGAGTTGACAGAGACAGGCTCTTCACAACTGCACTGCACTGAAATAAAAAGCCCTCAGGGTTGAACTCTTATTCTGATAACTACTTGCTACATTTGTCTTCTCTACCCAACCTTAGCTTCCCACTGCCAATAATTACATCCTAAACTTTGTCATAACTAGTCATTGTAAATTGCTTCAAATCTCAATTTCTAGCATCTAATTCTCTAGGAATTGTTCCTCTTCTTGCATTATTATTTTCACTTAGCAATACACAAGAGGTGCATCTTTTTAGCTCAATACAGCTATAGACAAAACAATGCTGACTAGCCTCCCTGCAATCCTGTCATGTTTGCCACATTCAATTCCCCCCACATGACCTTTCACACTTTCACTTCCTCTTCCTCTAGTGACCTTCCTCTACCAGTACCCTTTGAAGATTATCTTGCAATATTTCACTGAAATGGAATCAATCAGAAGTAAATACATTCCCAACATTATATCTCCCACTTGTTCTATGACCGGTCTCCCTTCCTCCATTCCTCTAGCAAAGCCACCCCTTCAGGAACTCACTGGATCCACTTCTTCAAATGCTGTCTAGCAATTCTCATTGCTTTTTCTTCTTCTTTTTGCTGGTCATGGGGCTTGAACTCAGGGTGCAGGCGCTGTCCCTGAGCTCTTTGCTCAAGGTTAGCATTCTACCACTTTAAGCCACAGCACCACTGGTTTTCTGAGTAGTTCATTGGAGGTAAGAGTCTCATGGAGTTTTCTGCCTGGGCTGGCTTTGAACAGTGATCCTCAGATCTCAACCTCCTGAGTAGCTAGGATTACAGGCATGAGTCACCAGAGCCTGGTTTGCTTTTTCTCTTACATAAAAAATTCTCCCTGGAGCTGGGAAGGTGGCTCAGTGGTAGAGTGCTTGCCTTGCATGCATGGGGCCCTGGGCTCCATTCCTCAGCACCACATAAGCAGAAAAAGCCGGAAGTGGCATTGTGGCTCAAGTGGTAGAGCACTAGCCTTGAGCTGAAGAACTGAGGGACAGTGCACAGGCCCAGAGTTCAGGCCCCATGATTGATAAAACAACAACAACAAACTCCCTTCTGTAGAGGATGTAATTTATGTTAATATTCTTCGTCTCATTAATAAAAAGACAAAAATTTGTCTCCTGGGTAGCATGAGATTATGTTCTACCATGCCCTTTGCCATGTGGTACTGCTACACTATAGCCCCAAAGCAATGAAGCCAAGCAACCATGAACCTTTGAAACCCATTACTTTTTTTATGTTGTTGTTTTTTCTTGGGTATTTTGTCACGGTGGTGATAAAGCTGACTAACATAGGAAATTGGTACTGATAAGTGCGGTAGTTTTTGTGACTGTACCTAATCAGGTTATGCAGAAGTGTTTGTAAGCAAAAGTTGATAGTTAAATCTGGTGGGAGCTCAGAAAACCAGAATACTGATAGAAATGCAGAGAGTAAAGGCAGATTCATGAGGCATCAGGTGGAGATGAGGACTCTACTGGGAAATGGACTAGAGGACACTTGGGTTACAATCTGGCAAAGAACTTGTCTAGGCAATATAAAGCTGAGTGGAAAGATTTGAAAAACTTGTAGTTTGGCTAGAAATGAAGATGAAATGTTGGGGCCAAGAAAGGAATGATTACTAAAGAGATTAGAAGCTAAGCACTTAGCATGAAGAGCATCCCAGAAATTGGCCATGTCACAGCCACCACAGGCTCAAGGGTGTAAGGGGTAAACTCTTTGCATGCCTGTTTCAGTCCCAGCCATCTTGGCACTCCAAGGCTAAGGAGCTGTGGACTAACAGGGCCTGGAAACTGCTCCCTATAGCAACAAGACACTCAATTATGTGATTATTGTTTTGTAGGCAGGCAGAATGCCTGGGGTCATGAAAGCTTCCAGATTTCAAAGGAAAGCCTGGGAAGCCAGGCAAAGTGCAGAAGGGATTGGAATTCCTACAGGCAGGTCTGAGAGGGTGATGTAGGAAGCTGTGAGTGAAGCTGAAGATGCAGCAAGAGACTCACTGGGGAAGCAAGGGACATGGAAAATCTGCCAAGGAAAGCTGAAGGAAGTGGGCAGATCAGCCTAAAAGAGTGGTCCTTGTAGACTCTTTACTGGCAAAGCCAAAGACATGGGCTACCTAGGCCCTTTTGGAACCATGTCTTACCATGTTGCGCCTCATATGACTCTTCTAGAACTAAGATTTCATGTTTCCATGCTGGTTTTAGATAATAATAATAATTATTATTATTATTAATTTTTTGTTGGTTGTGGGGCCTGAACTCTGGGCCTAGGTGCTGTCCCTTAACTCTTCAGCTCAAGGCTAGGCTAGCGCCAGTACCACTTAAGCCATAGCGCCACTTCTGGCCTTTTCTGCTTATGTGATGCTAAGGAATGGAACCCAGGGCCTCATGCATGCGAGGCAAGCACTCTACCATGAAGCCACTTTCCAGACCTTATTATTTTTTTTAATGTGGTACCAAGGAACTGAACCCAGGGCCTTATGCATGGGAGGTAAACATTCCTAGCCCCTTAGATTATGCTTTGATCCCTACCCTTTTATTTCTCCTTCTTGGAATGGGGTGTTTGCAGTGTACCTTTGTCTATTGGAATTATGTAACTAGCTTTTTGATTTTTTTTCCCAATGGGCTCAGAGAGCTGCCTTTGAGAGTTGATTTTTTGTTTTTGTTGTTGGTTGTGGTGCTTGAACTCTGGGCATGGGCACTGTCCCTCAGCTCTTCAGCTCAAGGCAAGTGCTCTACCACTTGAGCCACAGTGCCACTTCCAGTTTTCTGGAGTTTTCTGGTGGCTAACTGGATATGAGAGTCTCATGGACTTTCCTGCCCAGGCTAGTTTTGAACTGCAATCCTTGGCTGGTTTTGAACTGCAATCCTCAGATCTCAGCCTCCTGAGTATCCATCTTACAGGAGTGAGTCATTGATACCCAGCTTTTTTTTTTTTTTTTTTGGTGGTACTGGAGTTTAAACTCAGGGCCAGGTCACTGTCCCTGAGCCTTTTTTTTGCTCAAGGCTTGTACTCTACCACCTGAGGCACAGCTCCACTTTCTGGCTTTTTTGGTGCTTAATTGGAGATATGACTCACACAGACTTTTTTTTTTTTTTTTGCCTGGGCTGGCTTTGAACCATGATCCCTCAGATCTCAGCCTCCTGAGTAGCTAGGATTATAGGTGTGAGCCACCAGCATCTGGCTCCCAAGTCCTTTTTTGGTTTAATTAGTCGTTTCAATGGGGTCTAACATTTTTTTTCCCCAGGAGTAACCCTCAGAATGCAGTCCTACTTACGCTTCTTTGTGGCTGGGATTGCAGATGCCATAACCATTCCTAGCTTATGTGTTGAGATAAGGTTTCACTAACTTTTTAGGCTGGTTTAAAACCAAGATCCTTCAGATTGATTTCTATCTTCCAAGTAGGATTACCACGTGCACCACCATGCCTAGCTCTGTCAGAGGAAACTTTGGACTTGGGCATTGGAGCAACCCTGGACCTGTTGAAACACTGTGCCTCAGTAGCTAGGGCATAGCGTTAGTTACAGGGTTTGAATCGGAAATGTCCCTCCTAAAGGTCATATAATAAAAACGTAGTTTCCAATGTGAAGCACATTTGGGAGGTATTGCCTTTTTGGAAAGAGCAACGTGGCCCTCCCTTTGAAAACTCTTATCTTGTGTCTGGGCCCTTCTCTGCTTCCTGGACACCATGAGGAGGACAGCTTTCTTATACCATTCCCTTCTGCCATGATATACTGTCCCATCACCTGCCAAAGTCACAAGACCAAGCAATCAGGACATAAAGCATTTGTTAAAATACTGCTTCCCCCTCTTTAACTAACTAATTAGCTGACTATGAACTAGCTAAGCGAACTTAGGGCTGGTGCAGCACAGTGAGTACTGGTGTCTCACACAGGAGAGACTCTGGGTACTGGCCAGTCTACAAGGAGAGACTCTGGGTTTTGTTTCTGGCAACACACACACAAAAAAGCAATTCTGGCCGGGTGCTGGTGGCTCATGCCTGTAATCCTAGCCACTCAGGAGGCTGAGATTTGAGGATTGAAGTTTAAAGCCAGACCGGGCAGGAAAGTCCCTGAGACTCTTATCTCCAATAAACCACCAGAAAACCGGAAGTGGCACTGTGGCTCAAGTGGTAGAGCGTTAGCCTTGAGCTGAAGAGCACAGGGACAGCGTCCAAGCCCAGAGTTCAAGCCCCCACGAGCCCCCCACCCCCCCAAAGCAATTCTGAAATGATAAAAACTTCCTCTTAACATCATTTATCTTCAGTCACTTGCCCTTTCTTTCCCCCCATTCCTTTCAAACAGACTCCTCAAATTATGTCCTAGTCCTTCAAAGACTGAAGCAGGAAGATTCCAAGTTTGAAGCCAACTTAGGGCACACA